AATGCAATGTGAAGTGGATCCAGCAAAATGACAACCGGGCCCACCTGAAGGTTCGCGATGTCGATGTCATACTTCCTTTGATATTGGCTTTCGGTGCCAACAAGCTAGGGATAATTGTTCTCCTGTAATATCGTGCCCACCAAACTCCAACTCCAACTACAACAAACAAACAAACAAACAAACAAACAAACAAGAGTCTTAAACACAAGCGTCTTCATCATGTCTGCCATCGCTCCGAACTTGCTGTTGCCAAAATAGACATTCCAAGACATAATGCGGAGCTCGGTGGGGGTCTCACCGGTGGCGCCACCGGTGGTAGTCTCAGTGGTCACTGTTGTTGACTCACTGGAAGCCGTGGTCGACTCACTGGAAACTGTGGTTGACTCACTTGTTGAGATCATCGATGTCGTAGTCTCAGTTCTAGTCGTCTCTGCTTCGGTGCTGGTGGTCTCTGTCTCCGTCGTAGTCTCTGTGGTCACCGGCGCCTGCGTTGTCTGGGACCTGCAAGGGGGCGCTGGAGAGGTTTGGTCGCCTGGGTTGAACCATCAGAAACCCTGTTTTCCTTGATGTTTGGTCATCGAATCACATGATTTCCCAGCAAAGAAAGAATGACCGACCTTGTAAGAGCTAGATGTGTTTCTCTTATTGACATAGCAGATGTCACTAGCCTAGTAAGCTGTCCGCGTCGGTTGTAAACAAGCGCGTCATAAAACTGGTGAACCACTATTATGGGGCATACATCAAGAAATGCAGGCGGCCAAGTAAGAAGCCATCTCTAGCCAAGTTTGGGCAAGGCCATGTTTCACATGCAGGCTTCGCACTGCCCTGTCACACCAAGCCTGGGTTGGTCTTTGACAGCTGCAAAAGGTTCATCTGGTTGCTAGTGGCAAGGAAATAATTGTTCAGACAATTGAACGGACAAAGGTCGCACCGAGCAACCAAAAAGCAGCTCAGCTGACTGTCCAAATTTCAAAGCCCGAATGCGACCCATTCAATCAGAGATTTCGCAGGGTTCCTTACAGACATCCCAAAAACCATCTTTCCATTGGGATTTTCCAAATCACCTGGGTGAGCTTTTAACCAGCCCAACCATAGGTGGCCTTTTGGAAAAATGGATGGCTCTGGTAAATGGAATAAACCCCATCTAAACCAGGGCCCTCTATGTTTTAAGCAAACCAACCAAAAAGGACACCTATGAGACCAAATTTGGATCTTGGTCCCCAATCGGCCGCTCGCAAAAGCGCTGCTTTTCCCCGTTGCCTGCAGAGGTCTGCCTCCCAGGACTCCGTGGACGAGCCATACCTATCCGAAAGACAAAGCAGCTTTGGCCGAGTGGATTTCAACGCCAAAGACAGCTACAACGAACATGGTGAAAGTTGGTGAACATGTTGGTTAAACTGTTTATCTTGATGAAATCTAGTGAAACTGTTGGTTAGACGTTAAACTGTTTATCTTGATGAAATCTAGTGAAACTGTTGGTTAGACGTTAAACTGTTTATCTTGATGAAATCTGGTGAACATGTTGGTTAAACTGTTTATCTTGATGAACTCTGGTGAAACTGTTGGTTAAACGTTAAACTGTTTATTTTGATGACATCTGGTGAAACTGTTGGTAAAAACTGTTGATTTTGATGAAATCTGGTGAAACTGTTGGTTAAACGTTAAACTGTTTATTTTGATGAAATCTGGTGAAACTGTTTCTGTTGATTCTAAGATGGTCTCAAGGTTGGCTCAATGGATAGTAACCGATGTTCAAGGATCTTTATGGGTTGACTAAGGGCTAGCCGCGGTTGACTGCGGTATACTAGCACTTTAGCTAACTTATGGACCGACTGGGTAAGGTTTAGAGTTTCGTCGCTGAACTGTGGTCAAAATTCGCTGGGCTCTTCCACGCCCCATCCGATTGCTGCGTGTTAAACAATCCTTCAGCCCTTTGAATTGGATATGCGTTTCGGCGAAAAAGGAGTCAATAGGGCTGCCTCTTGGGACGGTCCTTTCCGGATTAGCGAGGGACAGTAGGGAAACACCCCGCTTCAAGAGAAGTGCTCTGGTACATCTAAAGTTTACACGGATGAGAACCAATGCGTTGCTAGTGGCTGCTTACCCTGAGCCAATACGCAATCGGCAGAACTGCTGGGGGGCCACGGGCAAGAAATAGATCCTTACCCTGGCAAACTAGATTGTTGCTCACGTGAAACAAACCACTTGGAGGGGTCCAACTACTCTGAACTCCGAATCAACATAACTCAAATGCTGCACTGCCGCAGAGCACATGCAGTGCAGATTGGAAGGCGATCCCTTGGATGTTCAACCAACGTTGCTGGGCCAAGAGTTAAACCCTGGTACGGGAACTAACCCCAAATTGTCCCAGTTACAACCATAAGCTACTTGCCTGACGTGGGTTGAACATACTGCGGATGGACGACATTCTGCACCACCTAAGACACCCAGGAATGATGAATTAATTCCCCTGCTAATACGAACATAGGTTTCAACCATGGTTTCAAGGCGAACGAACATGGCAACCATCCACAGTAGCACTCTCCTGCAGGTGCGGGAGGTGCTGGACCAGCCCTCCGGCCAGGCGCAGCCACATGCGTCCAGCGGCTGCTGACAGTTGCTCTGGCAGAGGTAGGAGTGCCCACCCCAGGCCATGCGATAGGGCCCACATCGCCTAGAAACCGTTGCACGCGTCCACGCGAGTCAGAAACCTACCTCAGCTTTTAGCCAACCTAAAGGGGGTTTGTTTGCCCCTGCGATGCCGGGAGGGACGTGGGGGCTTTGGCCAAGGCATGTCGTCGGTCGCCTCTCTCTCTCTCTATGTCCCATATGTCCCATTGGAAATTGGTAAACCTTGAAATAAAATCATGCTTCAACAGAGAACTCGTGAGGGGTCATCTTTTGCGGTGACGCCCCCACTGACATGAATGAGCTGTCAATACGATCACATTGGGAAGCCCCGACCCCAAACCATCAACTGGGTGTATCATAAACCTTCAGAACAGAAAGAGCCTCCAACAGCGGTCACTTGATCCGTCTCATAGCTAAGGGGAAATCCCCGCTCATGTTGAACAGCATCAAATTGCCAGTGCGCTTTTCTACCTGCAACAAACCATCCATGGACGGCTCAAATGATCAGTGCTTAGGTTCCACTTGCAAGATCCAAACGGACCCGGGAGAATGGTGAGCGGCAGAAATGCGTGGGGGGCTGGTTCACTATGCTGCGTGCAAGATGTTGAACGTGAGCCAACAGCCAGTCGCGTTCTACAGAACCTGACAGGCCAATTCAAAGAAACATGGTATCGAGGCCCCTTCTTCTTGCTCGTCGGGATGGCTCCTTGAACAGAGGGCCTGGAATGGGCAACCCTCCTGCCCTTAAACACACCTCCTGGTTTCCTCCAAAGGTCTTAAGGCAGTTGTATTTCGCACCCTCCTTTTCGATCGAGTTGCGCCAAGCCCGGACAGCAGCTCCTTTGATTTGGCCAGTAGGGATCCTGACCTTCTGCCGCACACCAGCGAGCCTCCGCATCTGCCTCCATATCCTGCGCAATGGAGAAATCACAGGGACCATCCAAAACCTGCACCCCAGTCATATGTTTCATGAGGGGAGCCCAATGACGTTCGCCTTCCGATGTTCACGCGACGTAAACTGGGTGCAAGCAACAACGCCGACCCCACATAGGTGACCTTTTGAAAAAATAGTTGGACAAATAGATGGCCCTGGTAAATGAAATATATGTATATATATATATATATTAAAAACAAAAAGCCAGATGTATCCTAAACTGGATGACCTCAAATCCACTTCTCACGTCACCACCGGTTGGCCCGCCTGCGCCATGCCTTGAGTCCGGCCTCGCCTATGGCTGCCCTGCAGGAGGGCCAGACCGTTGCGGGACTTCTTCTTACAGCTGGCATCCTCACCTCGCTTCCGGCGAAAACGCGGCGAAAACGCCACGTTTCCCACCGGTTGGGTGTGGAGAGCTTGAGGCTTTGAAGGGCAACTGGGTGGGCAAACGGAGACGGTGATGAACTTCTCATTGAGCTCGCTTCAAAGACCGCTGCCGCATCAAAGCAACACGTGTCAACATGCTGAACACACACAGAAATTATGCTGAGCTTATTCTGAGTGAGGCAAACGTGCGCAGTTGTTGGGAATGCAGAATGTGCAATCTTACAGTTGCAGCCACGTAGAATTTGACAAACTCAAACAGTTGCCTGCTGTCTCCTGCTATATTGTCACATTCTTCTTCAAAAAGTATGACGATAAATAAACAGCGAGGCTGTTGAGGCTGCTGAGAAATTGACATCAAGTGGAGAGAGAATGCGAGACTCTAAACGCAACGCTATCATAGCATGCATCCAGAGCCTAAGAAATGACCAAACCAGTTGCGTGGCAATGCCCGGGATGCTAGGCTAAGATGCTGGTTGCGCAATGCATGTGAAAGTGCCGACCGCCAAAGGATGCCTTGACAAATCGCTGCTGTTGCTTTGTTTTTCCCGCAAGAGCTGCAAACCACAGGCATATTTTTTAGTGTACCCCTTTATTGGTTGATTTTAAAGGAACACCAACAGGTACGCCACCTGTTTCTTTTGGGGAGGGTGGGGGTCCCCTATAAAAAGGACATACCCTCATGCCTTGTTCCAGTTTGTCCAGGTCAACCACAACATGTGGGACTGACTGGGCCAGCGGCATGTTGCATCTTGGCCCAGCGCCGGCACCAAGAATGCCAGCAACGCAAGACGCAGCATGGCTCAAAAGCACCTGCCTCGTTTCGGTCTCAAAGCTGCGGATCGGCGCATGGAGAGTAACGTCAACGATGAATACACTTTGGGGGGGGCGGGGTGTCCCGATTTAGAGGAGATCCTTCTCCTTTTGGAGGACAACCCCCTGCTAGTTCGGCAGCTTGAGTCCAAAGTGTGAGCACCTCTTGGCCATCCCTTCAGAGTTACATCCTCACCCCTGGGGCTCGCAGACCGAGCGACTCGGCGAGCCATGCCTCTTCAGCTCCAGGGCCTGGGCAGGCAGAGCCAAAGCAGGGTTTGCCTTTTCCACTGAAATGACGAGCCTCCCTTGAAAAGGGTTTCTACTCTACCAGGGGGGCTGCTTATTTATCCCACAAACCGTGGAAAAGGCAAACCATGATCCAAAGTGCAAATAACGCACAAGCAACCGGAAGGACTCCCAGCCGGATGGAAATTCCATTGAGTTGTGTGGCACATCCACTTGTGCCATGGCTTTTGTCCCTGGGGGAGGAGGATATTGTTCCCGCCTGGGAAGGGCCAACGCAGAAAGCAGTGTGTTCCATTTTGTTTGACATTGAAGCTTCAGCTTGCCATGGGAGGGAGTTTCTTTCTGTTGGGTCGTTGGGGACCAGGGCAAACGGGTAGCTCTTGTTCGTGCTCGTTACTTTAGGGGCACTGCCATACGCGCAAGCAACTTGATGCAATTTGATGCAATTTGCAGCATGTTGCAGTCATGTCCAACTGTCGTGCCCTGCGGCCACAGAGAAAAACACAACATGTCGATGTATCTTGATTCAAGGCACGCCAGAAAAGTACAATGCGACTGGACAAGGCCCGCACTGGCAATCCAACACGGTGTTGGCATGATTTAGTCAGATTTAGCATGTTTCATCGGCTACGACTTGCAAAAACAGCAACAACGTTTGCCTACTTTGAGGCTTCCTTGGATCGTCTCTTCTTGAATCGTTGCAGGGATGCAAGCTGGACCCGGCTTGATAGAACCTCTTGGGGGTCCCTTCAAACTAGGCTGGAATTAGGACCCCAGCTAAAAAATATCTTGCTTGCCTGGTTAGTGGAAAATAAAGGGACCCAAACAAAAATCAAAAAATCAAAAAGGGGAGCTAATTCTGGGGAAGCAAAAAGCCCACAGCGCGCCTTCTTGGAGATGCGCCTCTTGCTGATCTGCTCCAGGACCTCGCGCATTTCGTTCCAGCACGGCGAAGCATGGGGGAAGCCTCCAAAATGGGTGTATCCTCGCAGGGCAGTCCCTAAAATAAAATTAAGGTGTCAAAAGCCTGGAACAAACCCACAAAAGTTTCCACACACACACAGTATACACCAAACAACACACGGAGAAAAACAACCTCGCTGAAATTCCCAGTAGCCGCTTAACAACCCCACCAAGAAATGCCCTCAAGAAAAGACAGATCTGAGGGCATTCCTCAAAGTTGGTCCTTGCGATCCTTTCTTGCGAATATCGCGAGGGTACCCTTCAAAAGTACAAACACACGGGCCAGAAGCACCCAAAGCAATGGCCATGATGGGTTTTATTCTGACACAGGCCCAAAAGGATTCTGAAAGCTCCAAAGTATACGGGTGTCCTCTCATGTGTGCTGGTGGGTGAGTGAGCAAGTGTGTGCGTGCGTGTGCGTGCTTGTGTGCATGTGTATGAGGGAATTTCTTTGAATTGCCCTTGAGGCTCCCTTTACAGTGTCGCTTGCAAGTGACCGGCTGTAAACAGCTGGGGTGAAGGACAGTTTCCACCTGAGGGCACGGCCAGGGGGATGATGCTCTCCAGCAGAACCTAGGCATGGCATGTCTCAAAAAGGACGTGGCAAAGCTTTTCCATTCACGATTTACCTTGAATAATACCGTTGATCCTCCTTGTCAGGGAGCCAAGGAATCCCCTTGAATTGAAGAAGGTTTCTGCATTTGCAAAAGCGGTGGTCTCCCTTTGGTGTCCCTTTCAAACGGCGCCAAAAGGGGGTGCCCTCGCAGAAACGACGCCTATTCCGAGGAGTGCCGAGCAACTCTCCGAAGGCTATCCACACCGTACAGGCAAATCAGCTCTTGGCGCAGCTTTCGAATATCCTGAAAGCACCGCACCGAGCTTCAAACCAAAGGGAAGTATCACCGGCGGAATTCAAACCGCTCTGCTCTGCCGCATTCATTTTGTGGGGGTTGTCATGGGAGCCCTTTGGAGTATGACAAATGTGTCAATTTCATCCGTCCCAGCTTGACAACACGGGTGTCCGGTTCACAATCCAATGCAAGGCGCCGGGTGATCTGTTCTGCTGTGTATCTGTAATTGAGATGTTTAGTGACAATTCCAGCTGAAAACTGAAACCAAATGGGTTGAGCAAGCAAGCCTTTTGAATCCTCTTGACATGTCGTCTTGTCCTCCCTCAATGAGGAACCACTATGAAGATTGAACTATAAATCATGATATACCTGGAGATTCAAACGTCGAGGAATTCCTAGTAATTCTCGGCATTGACCCTGTTTTGGACGCAAACACCCGTAAATTACAGCACGGAAACAACCGCAAAGTCCCGCAAAACGCCAGCAAAGAAAACGCAAATATACGCAAAACACCTGAAGCGCCTTGAGAACCAGAACGCCTGAAAATTCCTCGGCATTGGAATCTCCAGGAATACATATGTATATATATATAGTCAGGCGGCAAACTTGCCGAGGGAAACTCAAACGCAAATAGCAAACTCGGTCTGATCCAATCCTGCTGCACAAAGCCAACGTAGAAGAGCGAGATGTAGCAATCAAAGGCGTCGAACAGGAACCTGCTCGTGTGAAGTGCTGAAGCGATGCAACGAGGACAGCTCAGCCGCATGTGGGCTGCTTACAAGCGGGGACCGACCACCAAGTGGTGGTGGTCTGCAAAGAAAGCCAGGGAGAAGGGGGAAGCGGACATACCAAAAACTGCAGCGGGCCCCCACTCGAACACAAGAGAAAGCCGAAAGGAAACCACCGGTAAATAACCATGACATGAGCAAACCACCACGCAAAGTGAACAAACCGCAACCACTGGATGAACAGAAACCCTGCCATTCTGCCACACGGCCCGATCTTTACAGTGCCACACTTTAATCACTCCGCCAGGTCCATGAAGTTTCGGCTTTCCTGAAGTCAGCCCCTCAGAGGTTTAGAACTCTTCCAGCGACAGGCTGAGCTCGTGGCTGAAAAAACATTGAAAAAGAAACTGGAGGGTTGCATCATGCCGTCTTAATCCTATTTACTGGCCTGGGGAATCTCCGAGCGTTCAACAATGACATCATGTTTCCCCTGATATGCCGGGTATGATTAATCCCGGCCGAGATTTCAATCTAAGCAGATTGAGGTCAGTGGAATGCACTCTTTCAGATGCCTGACGTTGCTAAACATGATGTTGATGTGTACTTGTTGATTGATGCTGGTAAGTGTTTTTCTCGCCTCGGTGGATGTCGGTAAACTCGGCTTACTCATGCCCACATTTCACGTCCCCAGCCCGCCTCTTGGCAATCAAGGAGCTCTGATGCTGCTCCAAGAGCCTTGAAGCCCCCAGCCCCAAACTCCAGACCGGAAGGCGAAAAGACACCACCGTGTGTTGCGTTACCTCTGCCTTTTGTCCAACCAAACATGGCTGAACAAATCGCAGTTGGCTCGAAACCCGGTAATAAAAAGGCTTGGAATGAGGGCTAGGGCTCTTGAACTGCAGTCGCATCTTGCGCTGAAACCAGGTGACTCGCCTTATGCATTCCCCTTGATGTACCTATGCCACAGGGCCATCCGCAGAAGCCCTGAGGGTTCCCAGCTCAGTGGAAGTGTAATCAAAGACCGCAAATAGCATCCTGAAACAGATTCCACGTCTTTTTAGACGAAGGCCTGTTGCAGCAGCCGTTTGCCTCTAAACATGTTCTGCAATCACAGCGCCTCACAAAGCGTAGAACAAATAACTTGCAGGATGATAAGATCTGCCCTCACAGTAGTCAGGCACGCCTGTGATTCTCGTTGACGGTCAGCCATTCGGCGACAAACCGATAGATCTTGTTCAGGTGCATGATTGCCTCACCGCAATTGCGATTCGCCAATAGCTTGGCTCAACCAACTCGCACCTCACTCGCCGCCAGGATGGGGAGATTACTCGCTATCTTCCTTCCATTTGATCAAAACCGCATGCCACACTATCTGCCGATCAACACAGGGGTATCAAGTGCAAGCAAGCGGCTAGGACGTGAAGCGCGACTGGCCCGAATGCCAGCAAACCGAAATATTCCTGAGCTCATTTCACACCAACCTCTTCCCGCTGCCAAGTGCTAGATGTGTATCAAGGTGCAGTCTGGTGCGGATCGAAGATGGCACCCGTGTGCGACAGACGAGCCAGCGGAGCAATGTAAAACACCTCCAAGCGACGTACGAGCCTCTGAACCCTGTCAAAACTGTGGGACAAAAACATGAAGCCAAACATACTATTGGGTCCCAAAGCTTTGCCACCACGCAATATTACATAATATGTATCATGATGCCCAAGAAACCACTCGCTCAGTGTCCAACTTCGAGAGGCAAAGAGTTCGGCGTGCATCCCGCCATTTTTCGATGTCAAGGATGTAGTTTGCGCAACCCCAAGAGCTGAACTTACTCGTTGCAGCATGTCTCAAATAAACTCACCCAGCTCTCCATCAGGGTCCTGGTGGGCATTGCCTTCTTTCCAGATGGCCACCCCTGATTTCATAGGTCGATACTACACGACCATGCATGCTTGGAATTAGCCAGCAGGGCACTCCGTGGTCAGCCACACCAAGAACCAGCTCAGGACTGGCTCTAACAAGGGGAACGTTCTCGGATGACAACCAGTCGCAAGGTCTTGTTTGTAGGGGAACCCCCGAAATGGCTGGCTTCCTCTTTGGCTTTCCCTTTGACAGAACCGCAAAAAAGGGTGACCCCAAACAAGACAAAGCCATATGGGTGTGTCTCGAAATGAGGGACCCCAAAAGGTTGGTTTCCCTTTGAAACCAGCCCTAAAAAAGGGTGCCCCAAGCAAGACAGAGCCATGGCTAGCTCTCCTGCCTGTTCAAAGGAGGTGGCATTTGTCTCCATGTACCCCTGCAAATTCAGCGAGCAAATCATCACCCAGAAGGCTATCCTCAGGACGCATGTAAGCGTGCATGCTGATCTGGTGGACATGTTGGATCGGTCTCAAGCCCACAGAGAAGCACATGGAATTATGTAGAACTACAACTGATTGGACAAGACAATGCCTCCTTTGAAGCTTGGCTCCCAACCCAGAGAGTCACTGAACATTTACTTTGGATAACCTGACACCTTGGCCTCCATTGTTCCTGATATCTCTGTGTCAGCTTTTGGCCTGGGGTCTCAGCAATGCTCAATCACAGAACTGGGTCCGAGAACGTGACATGCTCAAGGGCATCCTCCGTGGTGGTTTAAAGGGGAAACCACCCAGACCAGTAATTGCAACTTGATTGCTACTGACCCCTCTGCAACAAGTTTGACTTGTGGGTTCAATGGAAAAGCGGCTGTTTCCTTCAAAAGCTAAAGTCCAAAGCTCCAACCAAATAGAAAACAACGCAAGAACACACAACATGTTCACCTCAAGGGATCCAGAAGAACTGCAACAAAACTGTCAGCAGAACCCGCATTGCGCCAAAAACCCACGGTCCATGCGAGCAGGTGTCATCAGCATGAGGGATGTCACCAGCACCTAGACATCGCTCCACTCATCACTCTTAGATCTAGGAAGATGCTGATACAATGTTACAGCTTCATGAAAGCCATTGGCTGTTGATAATCATTTTTTGTCGGAATTGAGTCCTCCACAAAGAAAGGACATTGACTCACAAAGTGACTTTGCACCCAATTGAGGGTCCTCGCAGTTGATTGCGTTCTTCAGTTTCGTAGGGAATCCTTCGAGAATACCCACCCATTCATCCAACAGGTTCATTACCCATGCAGAACTTAGGCGCTAGCTCCAAGCAGCACGACTGCATCGCTAGCTGGGGATTGGGGATAGGAGGCTGTCCTGTTGCCATGATTCCAAGAGTACTGGCGCCGGCAATCACAGCCTATCATTGACATGCTGTTCAAAACAAATTGCACATCCTATCTGCGGACCTTCCGAGACCTAACAAGTTGCTGCTAGATTTGTGAAATGTAGCCTCCGCAAACATCTTTCTGTGCTTTACAAGTGAGCACCTTGTGTTTGGGAAAGTGCAAGACAGTGTAAGAGAGACAGAACCACGCCCCTTCCGTTCGCTTCCGCTGCCAGTCAAAAGAATCCGCATCAATTCTGCTACATTCTGCCACCTTCTGCTACCTTGTGCTGCTGCGGTGTGGCGCTCCCTGCTTTGCTTCTTCTCATACATCACCGGTTTGTCAAGCTTTTGGCATTTCTGATCAAGCGCAAGAAGCACCGCTCAATTTTCAAATTACGAAAGAAGGACCCCTTGCGTAGCCCAAGGAAGGATTGAGGGTTGCCTTTGAACAGCCAAGGCAAGACTGCATCCTGAGTACAGGTACTCGCAAAGGACTACCCCGGACTTTCCCCACATCAAGTAAGGTTTGTTGAAAGTCCCTGCACGCGGAAGATACAAAGAAGACTGGGGATGCTGACCGTCCTGAAGGTATGGGATAAACCTGGAGGGTTTCGAACAGCCACGCAGCGCAGCACGTGAATCATTCAATTTGTAGTGACTTCATTGTGTAATGCCCAACAATAGAGGGCCACCCCAACCATGATTGATGTCCTCTAGATTTGAACATTGTCCAAAGGGGACTTCATGCTTTGCGCCACCCATGAGAATGGATACAATTCATGGACAGTCCTTGCACTCTTGCGCTGTCAATCTATGGCTGGTGCATGCCAGGCACCGACAGCAGGTAGGCGAACAACCGCTTGCTGTAGGGATAGTGCCTGTGACGCTGGAGAGTGCAATGTTCGATTTGAACGGTTGGCTCTGGCCTGTTGCCCACCCAGGTAAGCACAGGGTTCCGTACGCCAAAAACACACAACGCACACCCATGCCGATCATGTCCCTAACTTTGGGTCTCGGCCAATCATCGAAGGGGCAAAGCCTTTCCTGACTTATGGCCCTTCAAGAAGCCAACACTCCCCTACAAGTTAACATACAATCAATCAAGGACTCCCAAAAGGAGATTCCTCCACAAAATGAGGGTGTATGGGTTCCATATTAATCTGCACAGGAGCAAGCAAGTGTTCCATCTCCAATCATATGTTGCAACTTTTTGGAGCCAGAAGTGTTTTCAGTGAGTAAAGCCGCATGTTGCCGACGCTGACAAACATGTGCCACATGATGCCCAACTCCCCAAAGCCTCTACAACAGGTCAATCTCAGAATGTCAATTGGTGGCCTCGGGACAGCTATCAAAAAGGACTTGCCCCTGCCTTTATAATATATTTTGTGTTGCTTGCTACTTGTGGAACAACGGGGGCTTTGGATAGCGGCCCCATGCCCCCCCCCCCCCAGAAGAGAGAGTGTCAAAAGCAGCCAACCCTTGCGATGTCAACGTGGGTAGTCCACGAGGCGCGGCCGTGTGGCATACGGCCGGGCCTCTCCGGCTGACCGGTGACGCGGCTGGTGTGCAAAGGGCCCCGAAACTCTGGGCGGTGCTCGTCCGGCCTCCCGGACGGACCCGGGGTGTTTGCTCAGCAGGGAAAATAGATGTGAACCCTACCATACAAGGATCCATTTGTGCGTTCGGGCTATTTTGAACAAATCCGTTGTCCGAGCACCCAACACAGCGCCAGTGAGAAGTGAGAAAGGCAAAAGAGCTTGCTGGCAGCTACCTCAGAGCGAGATGGCAAGGAGACTCATCTGGCTGGGTGAAGGGACCCGCAAGCAACCTTCGTATCGGTCGAACATTCATCTTTTTTGCAGCGGCTTGCCTTACAAGCACCGATCAATATGACATCTTGTGGGAGCAAGTAGTGAGCTCCACCCAGATTGCTCGCAGTCCCGACCCTCCCAAGCTGGTCATAGAGACCCCCCATAGTCTGGTTTTACTTGCGCTGGATTCCCAAGACAGGGTTGCAGGAATTGCAACCACTCCTGCAATACCACTTGAATGTGTTCCTATTGATGCAGCTCCCTCCAGGCAAAAACGTATGTTCACAAGAGACAAAAACGAGGAACCTCCGCTGAAAAATGTGACGTGCAAACGGAGTTGACAAACGGCAGCAGCAAGAAAAACAAAGGCCCGAAGGCAAACTCAATTTGAATTGTCCCTGGTGTTGCTTAAACCATCCGAGGAACATAAGACGTTCGTTGCCCAAGATGGCTTCCAAACAGGTGCCCTTTGGTTGTGACACGAACATTGAGGTGTGTGTGTGTGGTTATTTTTTAGGGCGGTATTTGGAGCCCCGAACGTGTGTCGCTGAGCCCTTCGGCCCAGTGGGCCTCTTGTCCAGGCCGTGGACGTTCCACTGCCAGGCCTTTGCTGCGCAGAAACGATCCCAGCACCGCACGAAGCAGGCGGCCCAAAAGACCACGAAGAGGGAGTGGAACGGCATGTAGGGGTCGTCGTCCACCGTGTACCCGAAGTAATGCCTCGTGCTCTTCCTTGTTTGGTGTTCTCTTTTTCTCTGTTGTGTTTTTTTTTTTGCGGGAGGCAAAAGGAAGACGGGGAGTCTGAGATCTTGGACTTTATTTAAACAGAAAACAAATTTGGTCTTTGGTATTGCAAGGGTCGCACCGTGCCTTTGGCAGTGCAAATGCCGAGGCCGAGGCCTTGATCATGCAGCTTGGCAGTCAAATATTAAGCTCAGCAAACCCCCTCCCTTAGGTCGATTTGCCCTGATCAATTCCAACCCCCCACTGTCTGGAATCGAAGGTGGTCGAGTGCTGAGGGGCAAAGCCGCAAGACAAACATTGGAAACTGAGAACTTGTGGTATCGTTCGATTGGCTTCCAGACTTTTGTGAAATCCCGCACAAGACTCTCCGCGCATTGACAGATTTCTGAATGACTTGCGTTCGGGGCTGCGCGGGGCATGCGTACACGCTTGGCGCCTGCTACAAGTTTTGGGGTGAATGAAGCAAATTCCTGATGCTTGCTGAAAACCTCGACACTCATCTCAAGCATTGATGTTGAAGCTTGGACTTGCTGGGGGAGAGGAGCAGGGCCTCACAAAGAACCTACAAAGAACAGAGATTGCAGGGCAAAAGAAGAACCCGTCAACCCCCTGATAGCCTGCAGCGCAAGCCTTGCTTGCCCAAATTGGTGCCTAGCGAGGACAACAAAGAAGTAAACATGGCACAAGGGCAATAACAAAAAAGCTCCAAAGCAAACAACATAAAACACGACCAATCGTCAACCCTCGTGGTTTGGCCATCTGAAGGTTCAGTGACTGCAAAACATGGCGCCCCCTTCCCGCCATTGAGTCCTTTCCGATCTAGTTGCCTAGTGGTTTTGAGGACAAGCTTGACCTGTTGAGCTCTTCATGGAGGAAGCAAGCCAGTCACTTGGCACTACTTGCAGTATCCATTTTTGAAATGGTCGACAACGCGCAACCAGAGGATGGAAATCCGTCGTAACGTCTTTAACTCAGCAAAACGAGGCCGATGACAATTCCTGCAAGTAAGCCCGAGGTCATCGCGTCGCAGATTGGCACTCTGCAGCTCAAAGCGAGCAAATGAAAAGCAAGACACAAGCTCAACAATCACCGGCAAAGCAATGTCCTGCCATCTTCAGCCGAAATTCGTCTCAAAATTGCATTCACATCTCGCCCCGGTTGCAGGGTGATTTGTTTCCACATCAGCACATCTCTCAGTTGCTTTGCCTCAACAACTTTGGAATTTCTCCAAAAAAACACCTCTAGGCCTACGTCTGCATCTGGTCAAATTGCCTTAACTCCAGCTCCAAATCTTCATCGAGCTCGTTTTCAGCTCATGATTTGCCCAGCATACACTGGCATTTGTCGGTGACCCACCCAGGCCACTTAGTTGGATCCACGCGGCATGCGCAAGAAGCAGGCCAGCCCGACGCCAGCAGGGGCCAGCAACCAGTAAGTGAAGTGATTCAGCCAGGCAAAGTAGAGGGCCTGCCCGATTCCCAGTTTGTATTCCCCCTGGATGGCTGAAAAACGATGGAACAGCCACACAATGGGTTTGCGGACCCCAATGTGGGTACCAACTACTTGTTGAAACACCTTAACAGACCCCTATCCACAACCGCCTTTGGAAACCTTCTGGTTTCCCGTTAGTTCCCCTTAAAGCAATCCAAAACGGGTTTCCTCCAAAAAAGGCACAGATAGGGAATCTCCGGAATGGCTGAAAAATGGGAAAGGAGGAAACCTAGAATTTGTGTGGGGCCCTGGGAGGCCGGGTTGTTCCCCAATACTCGCGTGTGTGGCGCTCAAATTGTCCCTAGGCAATCTTTGGTAGGCCCCGCTCCTCTCCTTTTGTGGGCACAAGAACAATAGGCAAAAGGCGCGTTTGAAGAAGTCAAAGCGTTCTGAAACCTTGCAGGGGAAGGGACTGTGGCTTCGTGTTTTCCCTGCTGAAACATGCTGCAAGATTGTTCAATTGGGGAGAATAGAAAGGAAGAACCAGAAGCGCAAACAGTGGGCAAGCATGGGAAAGCCAAATAGCATTGGTTGCCAACGAATCTAACAGACCTGCAGTTGTCTCACTCATCATGATGTGTTGACAGTTCATGTGAAGTTTGCAATATTTCAAGCCTTGACCCTAGCTATTGATGTGGTTTTACTGCGTTGTACCGTTGCTATGATTGCATTGCCCTGGAGAATGTCTCGAGTCACAATGATGCAAGAAGCCACCCTTGCATGTGCTAAAGGCGAAGCTCTTTCGATGCGGCAACCCTCAATGTGGTTCCTTGTAAATAGTGGTTGTCACATGCCCAATCAAACACTGTGATGTTTGATTATGGTCCGTGTACAGTGAATCTTAGCCCTGGAACTGGCCCCATGAATTTATCATTGCCTAAGTGGTAGGTTGAAGGGAATCAATCCCATAATCCCAGTTTAAACAAAAAACAACTCCCATCTAACATAGCACCTGAGGGAGGGTCCCCGGAAGATAGATTTCCTGTAGGGGCTTGCATGCCTGCAAATCTTTGCCTTGCCAAAACCATGCCTGTTGTTTTTCGGGAGCTGCTCCTCCCTCCCCCCGTCAGGCGCCATGGCAACGTGGAACTAAGGATATCCACTTTTCCGCCAACCGAGGGCACTGCTCTCCGAGGGCGTGGCCACCTCTGAGCCGAAGTAAGCCTCGATCCGGTCCACCGGGGAGTCAGCCATCCAAATGGCCTCCTCTCGGGGTTGATAAACCGTCGAGACCAGGGCTCCCAGTTCCGATTTTATTTTTTTTCGGAACTGGGCAAAGTGGGGAGAACATGTCCAGTGACAAATATTCCCCAAGACTGGGGGAAAATAAAACAAACAATCTTTGGCAAATTGAAGAGTTGGCTGTTTAGAACCATACCCCGGATGGACAACCCTGCACAGGGTGCTAGGTGATCTATCAACCATGATTCCTGCCAGGCACCAGTATGGTCGTAAACAAATCCCAGTACTCCTAGGGTTGATGCCCCTATGTGTGAAAACCAGGGGCGGCTCATTGTCCTGCTACATCAAACGCGTAAACTGCTATCCCTCTTTGTGTTCTCAGGCATCAAGAAGATACTACATGCTCATGTGGGCGCGCCTTTGTATTCTGCTGGTGTTTGGCTGTGTCGCAATCCCGGCCAAACGACAGAATTGCACGTGCTTCCCTGTGCGCAATGCATGCGCGTTGCGCAAAGGGGTGGATGCCGCCTTAAAAGGACCAGCATCAGCATGGATGTGGTCAGCACATCCCCATGCCTCAGACATTAAACAGAGAACAACGATTCATTAAAAATTCGGGTCGCACGCGGTCTGCCAACTGTCCAAGCAGCTGCAGAACCTCTCTGGCAAAGCATCACACAAGAGACTCGCATGTCGGGGTGATACTGTCAGGATCGATTCTGGAGAGCACCAAGTAGGTGTCCACGCCTGCGAGCAACGCGACAACTGCCTTCAGGCTGCAATGAAGGAGCCTAAGCAAGTGGCGAGCAATTTGCATGAAACACATGTTTTTTTGCGCACCGATAGAGATGTCCGGACACAAGGAGGACCTTTCCCTGCTGGCTCACTGGCAATCAAAGGAAAAGCCCATGAAAGAAGGGGCCAAGGTGGCACCGCATCTTTGGAGCAGAACGGCTTGTGAATGCTCATTTTCGTCCAGCTGGAAGGCTACTAGCCGTGATCACTTTGCAAAATCTGGCCAGTGAAGCCCCAACAGCCACGTTCCGGGATTCGTCTGAGTCCTCAGATTCGAGGACTGAAGTTGAAGGCCGGAAACCAAGAACGGCCAGTGCTTGCAAGCCACGATGGTTCGAAAGATCTCTTGAGCATGAAATGATCATCCCAAATTTGGTTCCGGGCGGGCGATGTGAAACTCTGTACCTGGTGCACACGCAATAAAAGGGCGGCCCTTCACCTTGTCACTGTTCATTTCTAGGCGTGCCACCCCTCTCCAAAACTCCCACAGCCTCACCCCAATTCCAAATGCCATGCCAACTGTCGGCTTGGGGCCCTTCCCACAAGTAAGCGGGTTAGGTGAGGGATTTGTTCTACTGAAAAGGGCCGTCTCCTTGCGGCTTACTGAGGCCCACTTTTCGGGGGGGGCGGGGGTGGGGGGATGGCCAGGCCGGTTAAACCCCACAGATCCGCTTGATCACTGCGGATTCCCTTCAACTATTCAGCGTCAAATTGAAACCCCCCCGGTCCACAAAAATGCGGCTAGAACCCCAAAACAACAAAAGAGGTGACACACTACCCTAAAACCATGAGATCGACAGAGAATCAAAAACAAAACGCTGCTATTTTAAATATATCAGAAAACTCTTGGCCCTAAAACAAAAGATGACCCATGGTCATGCAACCTGAGAACCCCATGATTTTGCATGACCCTACGACTTTGCAGCACCCTACCACCACTTGACTCCGCCTGCGCCGGGCACCGACATCAGCCGCAAAGAGCCGCCCAGGTACTTGGTGTAAAGTCTGCACAACGGCAGGCCCATGCCCAGCCTCAGGTATAAGTCAAATAGATCCAAAGTTCAAACCTGGACAAGATGTGGGCGTGAAATGGAGTTTGTTCTGAACCTCCCCTCCCCCCTCACAAAAATAATAATGCGCTGTTTAACTGTTTGTCAGCCGGGAGGCCGTTGCTGCTTCAAGCCCTCCAGAGGATCGTCGAAGGAAGCCTGGGTCGGCTAGAGATCCAAACTAGCGGCAGTCTTCAGCCGCTTGTGTTGTTGAGGAACAGTCCTTGTTGTCCTGTTTGTAACACCGTATGTACACATCCGCCGACCCTCTCTGAAAGGGGAGGCGCACGGGATTCTGATCATGACATCATCAGTCATCATTATGATCTGGTCGATGCTGTCGATGTCGTTGCTCCTTTACTATATTTAATATGTTCAGAAGGGACGTCAGGCTCTGGTGGCGATGCTGGGGATGCACAATTCCTGTCTCAGAACCAATGGCTGTTGCGAGAGAGGGCTGCAGCCACCACAGAGACCGAAGCCGTGATCAGTCTGAAGGCCTTGCCAGTGCACCTTCCGGGAATGAGGCAATCCGCGCCCTGCCGCCGACCATGTTCCGACGATGCTCGGACCTTTTGCGCTGCGCTGTGCCGCTGTGCTATCCGTAACTTTCGGCGAAGGAATTGCGGATTTGCTTGGGCGATGTTTGATGACTTTTTGACCGTCCCCCGCGGAGTCTCAGCTGGACAGCATCGCCAGTAATGACAGTATCATCCCAAGGAAGGGAGAGAAGAAAACGGAAGGGACATGCATGGACATGAAGGGAAATGAAGGAAGAGAAGGGAAATGAAGGGAAATCAAGGGAACTAAAAAGGAAGCATGAAGGGAAAGCATGAAGGGAAAGGAAGGGAAATGAAGAAAAGGAAGGGAGATGAAGGGAAAAACTGAAGGGCTCTGAAGGACAATGAAGAAATCAAATGAGACATGAAGGGCAAGGTTCCCGGCGGCGCCATTGCGTCAGCGTCTTCAAAATTTAAAAGAACGAGATAAATCATACGCATATATACATATTAATGTACATTATATTCGCGTCATCTCCACAAACACATATCTAATGCATCAGAGACGCACACTCAGCCTGCAGGTGCGATCGCAAGCTATGCTTGACATGAATGAACGACCAGTGGATGACGCGAGCCAGTCCAAATCTGTGACTATCCTAATGGTCATAGGACAATTGATGGGCCCAGCTTTTCCTTTCGTAATTTGATTCCCCCTGCGTCCCTACCATAGGAACCATAGGCTGGATGACTGTATCCTTTGATTCGCCTCACGTGAACACAGCGGACGTTGCGCTCAAAACGGGCTCTGGCTGCCACCATGTGGCAAGTTGATTCATTGGCTTCGAAAAGCCACCCAGATGGCACGACCACGAATATGACCACCTCAGAGGGGCCATCAATAGGCCGGGCAATGGCATGAACCATGTCATTCAGCTGACAACATGGAGGCATGGTCAAGCGTCGTTTGCGCCATTTTCCAATATGGGAATATTCCGTAGGCGACTCTCAACATGACTGCTCGCTTTACCCCTAAGAACCCTCTGCGTCTTGGAGAGAGACCGCCGCCCACACAATCTTAAACCGACCAACAAAAAGGTGCCCTCAAAAAACCACAAACCCAAATATGGTGTGATCTGCATGGTTTGTCAATTTGCAGGGTCCATGCCAAGTGGCAGCTTTTCTGCGGACACCTCGGAGATTCCGCCGCCTCCTGAGTTCGGTCTGTGGAGTCACCGGCCAAAACTTCCAAATCCAAAGATCTGAGGGTTTTAGTGCGCATTCTGGCTCACTCATGGTCCTTGTCCAACCATTTTCCCTAGGTGTTGTGGCTATTTTCTGAACAGATCCTTCAAGGAATCGAGAGCAGATGGCAAAAGCTCAAAGAACAATTGGCCACCAACACGCCATTTCAAAGGCAAGCAATCACGAACACCGGCGATTACAGTAATTCAGCTGCGCGGCTGTCGCTGATCTTGATGACCACCTGACACACAGATTGAATTCCATTTCCTTAAGGCTACCAAAGCATTTCATGTCTGCAAATCAAAGTTGATCCTGAAATTCCAAGGGGTTGTGTGTGTGTGTGTCTGTTCCATAGAAAATTATGCAGAGTTGAACGTGCTCCAACAACTGGCGATGCATGCAAGGAGCCATTTGTTCTTTCTGTTTGTTTATACTACTTTTAGTATTGTCTTTTGGGGTGATTTTGTGTTTAAGTTAATCGCACAAAATATCCGTGACCTCGCAACAGACAAGAAACTAAGCCAGGGGTAGCCCCGCGAGCTCAACACGTCACCAAGGCTGTAAAAAACAAACAACTGGTCATAATCTGTAAAACAACCAGGAATGCAACTCTCTCTCTCTCTCTCGTCAACAACTTAGGCACAAATTTGAATCACTACAGCAGATTCTTCGTCCCTAGTGCTCCAATCCCAACCACGGTGCGACAACACGCCGGCGTGCGTCGCGCATTTTTCCTCCCTCTTGAGCATCTGGACTTGCTTGTCACTTGCTTGTCAAGAGGGTTATAAACCTAAGTTTGGTTTTGTGTGAATTGGTTTCCGGCTTTTGGGAATGAACCGCTCAGGATTCAGTACCAGAAAAACCAGAGCCCCTTATCTTTCTCCCCCACAACTGACCCCAAGAGGAAACCCCAAGAGGTTCTGTAAAGAAAACCGGGCGCCTGCTGCTGGTTGGAGCCCACCGTGATGGTCACCGGGAAGGCCTCGAGCCCTCTCTCGTCCTAAGCCACGGGCTACACGCTGGCTTCTAGGGCAGTAGGCTGTTGAAAGGAAACCCCAGTGGACACCCCCAAATAGACACCCAAACAGACACCCTTGAAAACCCTTGAAATTTGTGGCAAGTGACTGGGGCATGGAAGTCAAACAAACAGCTAGTCACTTAGTCACTGACCAGCATGGAAGTGCGCAAACCGCCATGTAAGCATGGGAAAGCAGACAGTGACCGCGCGCAAGTCAGGTGCCCCCCTTCTCCCCACTCGAGCTCGGGTCCTCGGCCCGGTTCACCAGGGTGGCGTAGGCGCTGTTCTTCAGCAACTCCTCCATGAGCAAGAGCAGGTATCCTTGAAGTTCAAACTCGGGAACCCTGAAAATCCATGGTTTTCCAGATAGCTTCGCTTCACATAGCCTCAAAAAGGGTATCCTTGAAACCAACACGC